TCAGCCCCCACAGCACTGAGTGTCCCCAGGCCTCCCCCGTCCCCTCAGACACTGTGTGGGTCTGGTGAGTACTTTGTTTTTGTTGAGACAGGTTTTCATGTAACCCAGGCTAGCCTTGACCTCCTGGTTGTCCTGCCTCAGTGTCTCAGGTTCTGGGAGGCTGATGTGTGCCTCAAGGCCCAGTCTCGCTGATGGAATCTCTGCTTTCTCACTGGAAGGCTTTCCTGATTTTCCCTGAGAGCTTTGTCTGCATTGGACATTGCTATACTCTGTGAGCCTGAACCACGCCTGCTGCCTAGCGTGTTGGTGGAAGATGTTCTTCCTCTCACGTCATTCTGAACTCACAGATAAGGAAAGTCAGTGTTCTCGAGACAAGAGTTTTTCTGTGTAACAGCCCTAGGCTGGCCTCGAACTCACAGAGATCTGCCTGCCCCTGCCTCCCAAGTGCTGGGATTAAAGGCGTGCGCCACCACCATCCAGTTCGTTCTTTTCTTTGTGTGATAAAAACACACAGACCTCACTCTGGAGAGATGGCTCAGTGTTTAAGAGCACTGCCTGCTTAAAACCTCTTCCAGAGGTTCTGAGTTCAATTCCTAGCAACCACGTGGTGGTTCACAACCATCTGTAATGAGATCTGGTGCCCTCTTCTGGTGTGCAGGAAGAAAGAGCTTGCATGGCTCACACTTCCAGGCCACAGTACATCAGGAAGGGAAATCAGACCAGGAATTCAGGAGGGACCTGAAGCAGAGCCAAGCAGGACACTGGAGTGGGTTGGGCCCTTCTACATCAGTTAGTAGTCAAGAATATGCCCATCTCAACATTCAGGAGGCAGGGGCAGGTGAGTCTGAGGCCAGCTTGGTCTATGTAACAAATTCCAGGTCAGCTAGAGATAAATAAACAAATAATAAAATGCCTCACAGACAGTGCCCCAGCGGAGACTCGGGCAACTCTGGACTGTGTGGACAGCTGCAGCTAACCAGGAGAGCTGGGTCAGGTCAAGTGGTGCACATCTGTGATCCCAGAATGTTGGAGCAAAGCCAGAGGATCAGGAGTTAATGGTCATCCTCAGCTACTGACTGGATTTAAAGTCAACTTAAGGCACAAAAGACCCTGTCAAAAAAAAAAAAAAAAAAAAAAAAAAAGTCTGACTCATGCTACTGCAAGAGTGAGCCTTAGAGACACCATTCTAAGAGAAATAAACCGGACCCAGAAGAGATCACATGAGGCCCGTAAAGTAGCCATGGGGCGGCATGAGGTGAGAAAGGAGGGCATTATTTAGTGATGGGGCCAACTGTTGCGAACACCGTGGTTGTATGTACGTATGGTTAGGATGGTGAGGTCTGCGTTGTGTGTATTCTAACACAAAGAAGAGGGAAACTTGCCAGCAAAAGACTTCAACTATGATCTGGAGCATAGAGAAGCTCCAGACGCAGGAGTAACCCCCACCGTCTGCAGGAAAAGGGAACCCCCAGGCAGCGGTAAATTGGAGAATGGGACTTCCCTGCTCCTCTCTCCGGATTCAGCTTCACGGGAGAGGTGCTGATGTCCTGGTGGAGGATCCTTGTCATTTCATTGTGTGTTCCCTGCGCTAGTGACAGGCGCCAAAGAGGGCAGCCACCGAGAACAATGTCGGATAATTCATGTTCCTCTGGCGCCCCCTGCTGGTGGGTGAGAACTGGGACGGCTCGCTAGGGAGCGCCTTCTCTGCCCAGGCGCCCAAGACCCTTGAAGGCCGATGATGGAAGAGATTCGGCTTCTGGGCAGGGACAGGGCTCCTGGTTGGCGTGGCATTCAGAGAGATGAGATAAGCTGGGCCTGGTGGGATAGGCCTGCTGTCTTTGCTAGGCCAGGGTCTGAGGAAGGAGGGTCTGTTTTGGTTTTGCTTGGGTTTTTTGTTTGTTTATTTGTTTGTTTGTTTTGGGTTTTTTGAGACAGGTTTCAAGCTCTTGTCTTGAAAACAACTATAACAAAATTAATTAGTTAAAGAAATAAGGATGATGAAATGGTTCACCAGGTAAATTCACTTGCCCCCAAGGCTGCTAACCTGAATGTGAGTCCCAGGACTCACATAAAAGCCAAGCATGGTAGGTGGCTTGTGCCAATAACTTCAGTGCTGAGGGTAGAGACAGAGTCTGAGTGCTCCATGGCCAGCCAGTTTAGAGGAAATGGTAAGGTCCATTTCAGTCAAGAGATCCTTTCTTAAACAAGGTATAGAAGAGACAATGTTTTCCTCCAACCTCCATACATTCAGAAGTGGGCATATCTTCCCAAAGCGCGCAGCAACACACACACACACACACACACGCACACATGCACAGGCACACAGGGAGGCAGTCAACTGGGAAGGCAGAGCTTGCATGCAGTATGCAGCTTGGTGGCTGAATGTGGGGTTCCTACCTGTCCGCTGGGCTGCAGCATGTTCTGCAGGGAGGCAGAGGTCAGTGAGGGGAATGAATGCACACTGAGGTAGCAGTGTCCACTCCCAAGAAGCCCAGGATCTCCATAAGTGGCTAGCACAGGGACAGTCATAGTTCTCCTAGGACCGGAGGTACAGGGCTATGTTTGCTTTTATTTTATATATATGGATGTTTTAGATGCATGTATGTGCACAATGTGTGCACATTATCCACAGAGGCCAGAAAGGGCCGGAACATAGCCTCCTGTCTGTGTGTGCCACAGAGCGAGAGAGCTTGAAGGAGAACTTGTGGGAGTCAGTTCTCGGTGTCCACCCTGTAAATCTTAGGGTCTGAACTCAGATCATCAGACTTGGCAGCAGGTAACTTTACCCTCTGTGTCATCTTGGTGGCCCTAAGCCTTTTCTTTCATTGAAATTTTTAAAATTTTTCTTTTATGCAGATGGGTATGTGCACAGTGTGTCTGCAGTGTCCACAGAGGCCTGAAGAGGGCGTCACATCCCTTAGAACTGGAGTTACCAGTGGTTGTGAGCTGCCATCTGGGTGCTGGGAATTGAACCTGGGTCCTTTGAAAGGGCATCCTAAGCCATTTCTCCAGCCCCCTCATCTTCATTGGTGTTCTGTTGCTGTGAGAGACACTGTGACCACTGCATCTCTTAAAAAGGAAAGCATTTAATTGGGACTGGCTTATAGCAGAGGCTTCATCCGTTATTCTCATGACAGGGAGCACAGTGGCATGCAGGCAGACATGGTAGCTGAGAGTTCTCCATCTGGAACCTCAGGCAGCAGGAAGAGAGCGAGCCTCTGGGCCTGACCTGAACCCCTGAAACTTCAAAGCCCACCCCTAATGATACACTTCCCCCATCAAGGCCATTCCCTGGTGACCAAACAGTCAAATCTATGAACCTATGGGGGCCATTCTTAATTAACCACCACACCACTGACTTTTTTCTGAGACAGGGTTTCACACTACAATTCAGACTGGCCTCAGATTCAAAGTGGTCTTCTGACCTTAGATCTGGCCAGGCTGTTCCCTGCCTTGCCTCCTGCTTTCCTAGCTGCCTCCAAACACAATGCTGCCATTGGGAATACGTTCCGCTTCTGCCGCTCGCCATGTCTTCTGCTCCCAGCTAACCTTTCTGTTCTCCCGATAGGTACCAACTGGATGATTGAGATCCTCTGCTTAATCTTGAAAGACGGGGACCCCTCGTGGATCCGTTCTGAGCCCATTTGGCAACGTGCACCCTGGTGCGAGACCATCATAAGCGCCTTCAGTCTCCCAGACCGGCCCAGCCCCCGCCTCATGAGCTCCCACCTCCCCATTCAACTGTTCACCAAGGCAGCCTTCAGCTCCAAGGCCAAGGTGAGGTGGGCAGGGGTGGGTGAGGTTGTGAGACTAATCATGAGTAACTTCACGGCAAACACACTCCTGACGTGTGGCTCTGGGAGTCCGCCTTTTAAATGGGAGCAGACTCTAGGCCCGATGTGGTCATATGTGCCTGTCACCCCAACACTTGAGAAACTGAACCAGGAGCGTGGTCATGATTTCTAGGGCACCCTAGGCTACAGAACCACCTGCCACTGCCTCCCCGGCAGCATGTCCCTCGTCCCTCATCCTGACTCTCAGGCCTTCCTCCTCTGTGCTTTGCTTCCAGAAACCAAACTGGCTCAGAAACAGCCCCTCCCTTCTTCTCATGTGACTGGAGGAGGCTCTGTCCCTAAGAATGGGCTGGGCTGAACCCACTCCACCAGGAGTGTGTCCTGCCTACAGGGTCAGAAGAGGGGTGGGGGCAGGAAGGCAGGCCGCCTGAGGGCAGGTCCAACCATACCTGACGCCTTCTTTCCTCCCCACCTCTGTACACAGGTGATTTACTTGGGCCGGAACCCCCGGGACGTCGTGGTGTCCCTTTATTATTACTCTAAGATTGCAGGGCAATTGAAGGACCCTGGTACTCCTGATCAGTTCCTTCAGGATTTCCTCAAAGGAGAAGGTGAGGACTGGGAAGGGAAGAGGGATGGGAAGAGAGAGACGAATGTGGGGGGAGACAGATGGGGAGAGACAAAGGCGGGGGAGGCAGAGATGGGGAGGAACAGAGATGGGGAGAGACCAAAGGGGGAGAGGCAGAGATGGGAGAGATCAAGGGGAGCAGAGATGGAGATAGAGACCAGGTAGACAGACAAACCAGAGCAGAGCTGCTGACCCTTGTCTGCGCATCAGATGTCTGGGTGGTGGCAGGAGGAACTGCAGACAAGAGCTGGCTGGGGGGGAGGGGTCCTCTGACCCTGGCTGAAAGGCCTTAGGCAGCCTGGTCCCGAGAGCCTTGTGACCCTCACACCCCTCTACTGTCTGCAGTGCAGTTTGGCTCCTGGTTTGACCACATCAAGGGCTGGATCCGGATGCAGAGCCATGAGAACTTCCTGTTTATCACCTATGAAGAGCTGCAGCAGGTTCGTCTGGTCCCTGGCACCCCTCCCTCACCACATGCTCCTGGATGCCAGCCAACCTCATATCAGGCCTTGTCCTGGGGAAACAGAACCTAGGGTGGTCTGGAGATGGGAAGTAGGTAACTGTAGGCAGATAGGGCTTGTCAACTCACGATCACATAGGACGGACACACAGCAGCAAGTGGACAAGCGGCCAGGAGAGTCTGCAGCCAGAGCAGCCAGAGCAAAGGGCCTGGGGAAGCCCCTCCCCAACTCTCTCCCCTCCATCACTCTAAACCTTTGTAGCCCAAGTATCTGAGGATGACCTTGAACTTCTAGTTCTTCCGTTTCCAACGAGTACCGCCATGCCTGGTTCCTGCAGTGCTGGGGACAGCCCAAACTCTCTCTTTTATTTATTTTCCCAGACAGGGTTTCTGTGTAGCCCTGGCTGTTCTGGAACTCACTCTGTAGACCAGGCTGGCCTGTCTCAAGATCTTCCTGACTCAGCCTCCCCCAAGTGCTGGTATTACAGACATATTCCATAACTGTCACCATTTTCAGTTTTGAGGATTGAACCCAGGGCCTTGTATACACTGGGCAAGTAACAAATGAGTAGTAACTCGAAGTCCTTGCTGGGAGATTCTAGGCAAGGATTTTCCCGTCCTTAGCCTTTGCTTTGTTCTTTAATTTTAACGGGAGTTTCACTAAGGTTCCCAGGCTGGCCTTGAACTTTCAGTCCTCCTCTATCTCCAGAGTGACTGAGGTCACAGACTTGTGTCACCAGGTCTAGCTTCCAGAGACACTTATGGTAGTGTCTTAGATTATGGCTAGTGTCTTAGATATGGCTAGTGTCTGAATCCCTTAGATTCAGGGACAGGGCGGCTCTGAGCACAGCCAGGAGGAGTGTGCCTGGCCCTGGTGTGCTGCGCCTACCCCAAGCCTGTCCAGCCTTGTGTCAGTCTGCGGAGTGCAAAGCGCGAATGGCTAGCTAGGCCTGGGTAAGGGCATGTGGGGCTGACCACCAGGAGAGCCAACCAGAGCCTGCCACCTACTCCTGAGGACCAGTGAGAGTCTGTGCACAGCTGTTCCCAAGGCGGGGCGGAGAAGCCCAGGAAAGACCCACCCACTGGAGTCTGTCCCCAGCAATCAGGAGGCAGAGGCAGCAGAGCGAGTTCCAGGACAGCCAGAGCTACTGGTGAGACTCGGACTCAAAAACGTAAAGCAAACAACAGAATAAATAAGAAGGCTAGAGAGGTGGCTCAGCAGTTAACACTGGCCAGGCGGTGGTGGCACCCGCCCCTAATCCCAGTACTCTGAGGCAGAGGCAGGCACATCTCTTTGAGATCAAGGCCAGCCTAGTAGTCTACAAGAGCTAGTTCCAGAACAGGCTCCAAAACTACAGAGAAACCCTGTCTCGAAACAAAAAACAAACAAACAAACAAGAACATTGACTATTTTTGCAGAGGAGTGGATTTGGCTCCCAGCACCCACATGGTGGCTCATGACTGGTGGTAACACCAGTTCTGGAGGATATGATGTCCTCTTCTGGCCTCTGTGGGTCACATGGCACATGTACCTGCTGGTAAAACACTCCTACACATAAAGTAATACATTTTTAAAAAAAGTAGAGTTGAACTGGGCAGTGGTGGCACACACCTTTAATCCCAGCAATCGGGAGGCAGAGGCAGGCAGATCTCTGTGAGTTCAAGGCCAGCCTGGTCTACAGAACAAGTTCCAGGACAGCCAGGGCTACACAGAGAAACCCTGTCTTGGAAAACAAAACAAAACAAAAAACAACAGCAAACAAATAAAAAAAGAGTTGGTAAGTTGCTCAAAGGGTAAAGTCACTTGCTACCAGGTCTAACGACCTGAGTTCAATCCCCAGATGTGGAAGGAGAGAACTGACCTCTGTCATTTTTCCTCTGACTTCCACATGTGCACACACACAATACACACACATGAATGTAATAAAAATTTACATATATATTATATATACATATTCACTTAAAATAGCAATAGGCCACCAATTCTGAGCTGTGGAAATCGTAATTATTTAAGTTTGCCCTGGGAAGTCCTCACGGCCGTTCAGAGGAGGACATAAGCTTTAGCTCTCTGGAGAGTCAGGCATTTGTCAAAGACACACAGCGATTCCTGGCAGCCCCCATAATTTTTCCAACCTGATACTTTCTCCTGATGCAAAGCTCTGAGAAAGCTTTCAGCACCATGTCTCCCTCCCTTCATCCAATCAAGTTTTATTCTCCAAACCAAAAACTGGGCCACGGAGTGGAGCGCAGCTTCTGGGATCGTGCTGGGGGCACGGCGCCGCCCACATGTGTGTTTCTGGGACAGGCCTGTGGCTCAGAGAACACAGGCTTATGAAAGAGAAATTGACCTGGAAAAGCTGACCGTGGGGCTACGCAGCCACCAGCTATGCCGAGCGCCGTATGCCATGGCTGGGAGGTTGAGAGGACCGTGTGGCTTGGGGGGGCTGAGTCTGAGCTTTGGGGTTATGTGACTTTGCACAAGTATCTTGCTATCTCTGGACCTCTGTTTGTCAACTAGGGTGTGACCTTTTTGCAAAGCTAATGGCAGGATCAGCACAAATGTGAATGAGGACTTGGGTCACAGTCTGGTTCCAGGGACTTGAGCCAAGTGTCATGAGGAAGGCAGCAATTGAATTTATCAGTGGCAAGGATTATCAAGAAATCTTGTGCTGAGATGTGGAGGGGTGAAAGGTCGGGAGCGGCCATGTGGGAAGCAGGGGTTCACACCAAACCACTCTGTCCTTGAAAACCAGGCCTGGGAGGACTCCGTCCCATGTACTGGGGAGCCACTGAATCAAGGGCGCCAGGGAAGAGTTGACTGAAGTGAGGAGATAGCCCCCCCCCCCCCCAGGCAGGCAGGCAGGCTGGGAGAGGGGCTGCAGCGGGGAGGATGAGATGTGGGCCAGCGTGGGGATGTTGGGGACACAGAGATGAAGACATGGCAAAAGAAGGCAGGCAGGACAGGAATCTGGGCTGAGGAGGCCGGGGAAGGGGACGCCCCAGAGACCAGTGCTGGGGGTATGGGGAGGGGCAGAGCGGCTCTACCCACAGCTGTCAGCTTCTGATGTAAAGTTGGAAACCGCTGGCCTGACTTCTGCCAGGCTACATCCCCCTCCCCACCAGGCTACCCAAAGTGGCCCCCACTCCACTATTCTTTTCCCACCCCAGGACCTGCGAGGCTCTGTGCAACGCGTCTGTGAGTTCCTGGGCCGGCCACTGGGTGAAGAGGCCCTGAGCTCTGTGGTGGCCCACTCAGCTTTCGGTGCCATGAAGGCCAATACAATGTCCAACTACACACTGCTGCCGGCCAGCCTGCTGGACCACCGCCAGGGGGCGTTCCTGCGCAAAGGTACCACTGGGTGCTTCTAGACATTTCACAGCTTCGGTGGGCCTTCATTTTCCCGGATGCCATAGGGAGTGTACAGGGCCACCTAGACTAGTAATCTTAGCTCTTAGTAGGAGGTCTGACATTCCAGGTGCCTGCCTGCTGACCTGCCGCCATCTGGGCGTCCGCCTGAAACCAAGCATCCTGAGGGTCATTCAAAGCATGAGGCTGAAGTCCCCAGGAACCTTTATATTAGTGCAGAATAATTCAGTGTTTAGTCAGGCATGGTGGTGCTTGCCCATCAAACCAGCTATACAGAGTTGAGGCAAGCCCGGGCTGCTTCAGATTCTGTCTCCAAACCAAAGCAGGATGCTGTGACAACACAGGATCCCCAGTGGTCTAGGTCAGTCCCCAGCCCCCAGATCCTGCTGCCATGTGATTTCACATTCTAAATCCCAAGAGATGAGAATGAGTATCTCTAAGGTGTACCAGCCCCCTTCGGGGAGACTCCTGATCTCACCAGAGGTGACATGACAGCTGTTTGAAAGGCTCCTTTCCGCACAGGCAAGAGGTGGACCCCTAGTGGTCCCTGTGATAGCAGGGACCAGCACTCAGGATTACATGCTTGTGGGGGCACCTTGCTGAAACAGCTCCCTGGCTGTGGGAACCGCAAGCTGGTCCAAGCTTGTGCAGCTTCCAGAGTGCCTGACTGGGGTGCCCTGGCCATCAAAGCACAAGCCTGCTGGAGGCCATGTTGGGCATCTGAGGGGTACTAGGGTGAGAGAGCCCTGTGCTGGCAGAGGCAACTCCCAGAGGAGGTGATGCAGGCTGAAACGGGGATGTTTGGGGGCTAAGAGGGAAGCGAGTTCTGGCAAGAGATCTGGAAGGTCAGAGGTCAAAGGACAGGGCTGACAGGGGTCACCAAGGTGTAAGGAAAAGAGGCAGTAAGCATGGGGCGATCTGGCCAGGTGAGGGGAGTTCCTCAGTGGTCCTTTCCTCTGTCCCCTCCAGGCATCAGTGGTGACTGGAAGAACCACTTCACTGTGGCGCAGAGTGAGGCCTTCGACCGCGTCTACCGTGAGCAGATGAGAGGACAGCCGAGCTTCCCCTGGGACATGTCCCCAGAGGATACCAACCCTGATGGCGACCCTGATCCTGAGCCCAGCCCCAGTCCTGGCCCTAACCCAGGATCCTCTGATGACCCCAACGTAGCAGCCTCACAATAAAGTTGACACTCCGATTGCCCGTTCCTTCTTGCTGCGCTTTTGGGCGACAGCGGGGAGGGGGAGCGGGAGGGGGTAGTGGGGGGCAGGGGGAGAGCGGAAGGGGAGGAGGGAAAGTGGGAGGGGAGAGCGGGAGGGGAGAGTGGGGGTGGAATACAGAGGACCCAGTCGGTCACACACACCAGAGACAGGATGCAAAGGAGCTGCAGAGGGTCAGTGTGACTCACTTCTCATCCCAGAGGCAGAGGCAGTAGGATTGCAAATTCATGTCCAGCCTGGGTTACTCAGGGACCAAAACAGCATAAAAGGGGTGGGGAAGCCTGCGCTGAGCATGAACGCAACAGGGACGCCAGGCTGGGCCTGACCTAAGGGAGGGGAGTTGGGGGGAAGCCCTGGGTCTCAAGGAGAACTGGGGAGGATGTCATGGTCTGGAGTCAGGAAGGGGTGGCGGAAACCATGGCGATTCATGTCTGTGTTGTCAGAGTTTAATCTGACCAGAAATAGAGAATGCTCTGCCGCTCCCCATCAGCTCCCACAGAACACTCCAGACACGCCCAATGTCTCTGTCCCCAGTACTCTCTGGGCCCTGTGTTCCAGCCTTGTTCCTCCCCCCTAAACTCCATCACTGTTAACACTCCTCTCCTGGACTCGGTTTACCCTCTGCCCCACACATGGGTGTGGGTACTTCTCTGGGCTTGCCGCACGGCCCTCTCTACAACACATGGTGAGGCAGCCGGGCCTGTCTCTGAAGCAGTCCTATGGAAGATCGACTGCTCTGGAACCTTCTGCCCGAGCCCTTAGCTCTACTGGGTTCACCCAGTTCGAGAGCAATTGAGACCAGTCCTTTCCACTGCCCAGACCCCAGGCCAGAGGACTCAGACACAGCCAGTGTCTGGTAGGGGCTCTGGCTAGGCACATCTGGCCATCAGAAGCGCCTTCCAGGGCCTGAGCCAGAGGCCCAGTCTGATGTAGCATTGTTTCCCAAGCGCCTTTGGGCTGGAGATAAGTAACGCAGGTGGCGGGCTGGAATCCCGGGGAGGGGGCCACTCCAGGGCTGTGACCGGGCTAGTGGGTGAGAATCCATCTCACCCCTGGGGCCCCCTCCAGTGCCCCTCTGCCTCATCAAGGCCCTGGCTGGGGTGTCCTTGTGGCCCCAGGGCTTCTTGAGCTGTGAAGGAGGAAAAAAAATCTGGTGAGCGGCTTCTGGGGCTCAGGGGGCGGTGTTTGGTCCTCAGCGCCACATAAATCGGGCACGACGGGGCACACCATAGTATCAGCACTCAGGATGTGGAGGCAGAAGGATCAGAAGCTCAAGACCAACTCGGACCACATGAAACCCTGTCAAAATAAGGAGGCAAGCTGGACGGTGGTGGCGCACGGCCTTTAATCCCAGCACTCGGGAGCAGAGGCAGACGGATCTCTGTGAGTTTGAGACCAGCCTGGTCTACAGAGTGAGTAGTGAGTTCTAGGAAAGCCCGGGCTACACAGAGAAATCCTGTCTTGAAAAACAACAACAACAACAACAAAAATAAATAAATAAAAATAAAAGTAAGGAGGCCAGAGGCTGGAGACGGCTCAGTAGGTAAAATCCTTGCTGCAGAACCATGAAGCCTGGGCCTGGGTCCCCAGTGCTCACATAAAAGTTGGGGCTGCTGGGCTGGAGAGATGGCTCAGAGGTTAAGAGCACCGGCTGCTCTTCCAGAGCTCCTGAGTTCAATTCCCAGCAACTACATGGTGGCTCACGGCCATCTGTAATGAGATCTGGTGCCCTCTTTTGGCATACAAGCATACATGGAAAGGATGTTGTATACATAATAAATAAATAAATCTTGAAAAAAAAAAAGCTGGGGCTGCCAGGTAAGCATTGTAACCATGGCACTGGAAGGCAGATGAGTGGCCCCAAAGCTTCCTGGCTGGTCAGTCACAGACACTGCCTTAAAAACACTGTGGAATGGTACACACCTTTAATCCCAGCACTCGGGAGCAGAGGCAGACAGATCTCTGTGAGTTTGAGACCAGCCTTATCTACAAGAGCTAAATTCCAGGACAGCCAGGGCTGTTACACAGGAAAACCTTGCCTCAAAACAACAACAATAATAATAATAAGCAATAATGATAATAATGTGAAGAATGACGGGGAAGATCTCCATCGGCAACAATAGGCACACACAGTGAGCTCGCCTGCACACACACAGGAGCACACACCGCACACACGCATAAGGGGAAAAATGAGCCAGGCAGTGGTGGCACACGCCTTTAATCCCAGCACGCAGGAGGCAGAGGCAGGAGGATCTCTGTGAGTTCAAGGCCAACCTGGTCTACAGAGGGAGTCCCAGGACAGGTTCCAAAGCTACAGAGAAACCCTGTCTCAGAAAACCAAAAAGAAAAAAAAAAGGGGGGGGATGCTAGGAGCAAAGATCTTGGGGCTAGGTGAAGACCTGGAACCCCAGACCCATGCAGGATGCCTCTCGCCTTGTATCTGTGGAAGAACAGGAAGCAGCTGTGCCATTGCGGGGACAAATATTTGTCAAGGGAGGGGAGCCTCAGCAGAGGACCTTGGCCTGCCCACTCCCTTTCCTCTAGTTTCATTGACAGAAGTGATTCCACTCCAGTTACCAGGGAGCAGATCCAGAAACTGAGGCCGGCAGGGGTGAGCTCCCTAAGGGACGTAAGCCCACCTGCCTGTACCCTGGGGGAGGCTCTTTGTCTCCCCACATGGCTCTGCTTCTTCTCATGCAACCTGTCTCACAGTGAGAGAAACTGAGGTTCAGAGGCAAAACCTTTGCTAGCCCAGGGTTCACCAAACAGCCGAGTGGATCCCCACTCTCCACATTCAGCTGCCAGAGGATTCTCAGTTCCCCCTCCTTTCCCCCAACACCCTAGGGACTACAATCTAGAAAGTGAACATGTCCCACTGGGAGGCAGAGCTGAGGTCCAAGCCCTCTCAGGTGCCTCAGTCTCTCCATCTGTGAAGTGGGTAGATTAAGTTAAACCCACTTAGCCAGGCGTGGTGCAAACCTGTTAAAGTGGAGGCAAGAGAATGGGTTCAAGGCCAGGGGCTTTAAGACTCTCTTTCAAAAAGAGAACTTGCTTCTTGCTTTGGGATTCTGTGTTCAAACTGGGCCTCCCTATCTCTCTATTTGTCTGCCTCAGTACTTATCAGGGGATCTCACCTCATTGTCGCCATCACTGGAGCCAGAGAGCTGGGACAGGCGGCTGAGGTCCCACAGCGAGCGGCTGGGCCTGGTTGGGGGACCACTGGCTGTCCTGGTACGGACACTTCTCAAGATGTCACTGAGAGCAGGCCCTGTGGTGGTGGGGGTCTCCTGTCTGTTCCCCTCAAGGATGTGACAGGCCGCCAGGCGGTGGGCCAAAGGCTTGTCAGACAGCAATGGGGCCACAGGGGCCACAGGACAGCGCAGGGCCACACGGTGTGGGCTTCGGGGCAGCCGTGGCCCCTCAGAAGGGCTGAGCAAGGGGCTTCGAGCTGGCGCCGGTGGGAGTGGACTGGAGGCCGCATACAGGATGCGGAACTCCTGGCTAAAGGCATCTGCAATTTCTCCTGTGAGCAAGGTCACCAGGCCCCGATGCAGGCGTGAGTCACTCCACGTGAAGCTAGGGATGTAGAGTAACAGTCAGGATCTGTGCAGGGTGGCACCCACCCTAGTCCCCAGCCACTGTGACCTTAAGTCATGATCTCACAGGCCTCAGCCTCTCTAGTGGGTAGGACAAGAAGTATCCACCCTGCTGTTTGCCACAACCAACCTGGGGACAACAGGAGATGAGACACTTATACCACCAAGCTGGGCCGGCTAATAGCATCTGTAATCCCAGCACTCGGGGCTTGAGGTGGGGAGATCAGGAGTTTGCTACACAGTTCCAGAAAAGCCTGGGTTACGTGAGACTATCAAAAACAAACAAACAAGCTGGCCAGGCGTGTGGCACAGGCCTTTAAGCCTTTAATCCCAGCACTTGGGAGGCAGAGGCAGGCAGATCTCTCTGAGTTCAAGGCCAGCCTGGTCTACAAGAGCAAATTCCAGGACAGGCTCTAAAACTACAGAGAAACCCAGTCTCGAAAAATCAAAACCAAACAAACAACTAACTAACAAACAAAAACAAAACAACAGCAAACCCAAACAGTCAAACCTGGAAAGTCTTTATACTGATCACCTGAAGTCAGGGGAGCTTCAGAAAGAGCCCTGCTCTGTCCCCACTGAGGGGTCAGGAGATGAGGTTGGTCTTCTAATACCCATGGAACTATTTGAATTTCCACAGGCTCCCCAGAAATGCTGCATTTATGTCCTAAGCATGTACACTGTGCACCAGGATCCAGGTAGCAGCAAGTGCCCTGCGTGGGCCCGCGGGTCGCATAGGGTGGCACCTGCACTGCCCTCACCCTTCACAGGGCTGTGGCTTTAACACATGACACAGCAGAGGTGTCTCTCGTTCAGGGGCCCTGCATGCACCAAGCACCCCACTGTGGCCTCAGTGCGCCACCAATAAGGCAAGATCGCCACGCACAGGCATGAGAGAGTTACGAGGGTCCTTCAAGCATCCTTACCTTGGCAGGTGACAGTTCCGGGCCCTTCAGCCTGTGGTGGGACAGGCTATGACCCCTCCCCCACCTGCAGCAGTCAGGGAACCCTGAGGGTCTGTGAGGTCACTGAGTTCCATGGCCCAAAGGCTTGTGGGCAGGGGTGCTGGCCCATCTCCAACCCAAGGACTCGAGTTCCTGAGAGGGACACTTTGTATTGGGAACCAGGAACACTCCAAGTGCTGACCCCCAAGGCCAGGACGAGGGTCAGGAGGTGCCATCCAGGAGGTCACGGGAGTCCCCGGCCTGGCTTGGGTGCTATCCACGCCGCCAGGCCACCATGGTCCTTGGCTGGCCATTGCTTCTGGTGTTGGTCCTGTGCCCAGGTGCGACAGGCATCAAGGACTGCGTCTTCTGTGAGCTGACCGACTCCACTCAGTGCCCAGGCACACCCATGCGCTGCGGGGACGACGAGGATTGCTTCATAGGCCGCGGAGTAGCGCAGGGTGTGGGGTCCATCATCAACAAAGGCTGCGTGCACTCCACTAGCTGTGGCCACGAGGAGCCCGTCAGCTACATGGGCCTCACGTACAGCCTTACCACCACCTGCTGCTCCGGCCACCTTTGCAATGGGGGTGCTGCTTCCGCCACGGGACCTGCCAGCCTGGTGCTGGGTCTGCACCTGTTCCTGGGCCTGTTGCCGCGGCTTCAATACTGGCTGTGGTGACCCACAGAAACCGCCGGGCCTGGGGCTGTGCCCTGTGCCCCCATCTCCACCCCTTTCCCTCATTAAATGGCCAGAGGTGCCGTCTACCTCCCGTGGCCCTGACTTCCTCCGTTCCAGGGCCCATGGGAGCTGGGCTGGCGTGCCATTGTGTGGGCTGCGGCCTGTGACTCTCGCGGCTCTGCCCCGCCCCGTTGGTCCTAAGATGCACATTTTTTCATTTTGCCCAGGTGCTTCTTTGTGTCGGTGTCACCTTAGAGCTGGTGAAATACAGTACCAGTAATACCAGACGGGGTTTCAGAGCACTCTTTTGTGGGTGTTTTTCTCAGGCGATCTTCCTTCTCTCAGCTGTGTGCCACCACATCCAGCTCTGAAGCTCGGGCCATGTGTTGGGCACTGCTATGTCCTCTGGCAAAGCCAAGATGATAGTGACGCTCCAAAGCGCCGTGGTCTCAGGGCTGGAGGCTCAGCACCAAGAGGGAACTTCCCAGAATTGCATGCCCCACCAGCAGTCAGGTGAATGTGGGCAGCTGTGTGTCAGCACCCTTCAAGAACAGCGGTTCCTGGATGGCACCTCACACCCTGGAGCACCTGGCCATGTTTGGGGGATGCTGTGATTGTCATGTCGAGAATGGGTAAGAGACACCACTGACATCTGCTGGGTGGAGGCCGGGATGAGGCTCAGTATGCACATGGAAGGGGCCCTCAATAATCTGATCCCTATCGTTTCATTCTCAAGGGAGGAAACTGAGGCAGAAAAGGGAGTAAGTTGCCTGAAGACACATTGTTATAGCTAACAGGGCTAGGCTCTGAACCCAGCCATCTGGCACCCAGAGTTCATGCCTCAGTTTCCCAAGTTGGGATTCACCAGGCTAGAGAGACACTTCAGAAGGCCCTGAGTGTTCTCCGTAGCAGAACACTTCTCCAGGAAGGGCATATGGACCCATTTTAGAGATGAACAGAAAGGGGACGCCTCCCGCAACCCCTCCCCCATCACCTGAGCATGTTGAGGGAGGGCTGGGCACAGGGCGTCATGAGGGGACACACCTGTAAGATCCCGAGATGACCCTGTCACCGTCCAGCAGCAGGAACTTCTCCCGTACATGGCCGCTCACCTGCCTTCGCCTGCGGCTCTGGAAGGTGTGGCCCTGCACGGTCCGGATGTCCAGATTCTGGAAAGGAAAACTCTATGATCCCATAGGGCCACTGATACTAAATCTTAGATTTGGGGATACCAAGCTCTGACTCAAGTATCCCTTTAGGACAGCCACCCCCTTCTCCAGTAACATGAGTTTCAGATCTTAGGGAACCCCAGTGACTTAGGAACCCATGGAAAAGTCCCCCTCTGAGGGCCAGAGACATTTAGATGCCTCTGGCTTGGCCCCTACCTCAGTGGTCCAGGGGTTCACCCCTAACTGCTGGGCTAGTGCCAAGAAGGCAGGCAGATGCTCGCGGTCAAGCAGTAAATAGACAGGTAACCAGCGGCGTGTGGCAGCATCCACCATGTCTGTGAGCAGGTCAGGGTCGGTGAAGACATCCATGACCACAGCTACTAACTAGGGTGGGGAAAAGAAGGGGCAGACATGGACTCTGGAGACATGCTTCAAGACCTGGCTTCCACGGGATGCTCAGGGGCTGCAGGGAGACACCCACGCACTCTCTCCTGTATGGAGAGTGAATCAGGCAGCCCTTTTAGGAGACCCCAGTTTCCAGCTGAAAACTCTTAAAAAAGTTCACAACTCCAGGACAAGGCTGGGTGCTGGAGGTCAGGAAGGCTAGGCCACCAAGGTGTGCCGAGAAGGCAGGCGAGGTTGTGATGGCGTCTGACTCACCAGCCAGGTTAGTCAGTTTAAAGAGCATAAACTGAATCGCCCTCTATTCGTGGAAGGCTGAACATACTAACCTATGTAAACCACTTGGCATCGGAGTCAAGGAAATTCCAAGACTCCCTAAGAAATGGGGCTTCAGGGAGCTACAGAGTGGGGAACCACCCCCAGGGCTTTCCTGAAGGTTTGGTACGAAAGGGGGCAGACACAAGTGGTCACAACTCAACTTCAGAAGCATGGACACCATATCTCAGTAAGAGGCCTCCAGGTCTGAAGGGAAAGAGATAAATCCTAGGTTCCAAGTCCATGGACCAGAGGAACGCAGGAACAGCCTTGTAAATTACAGGAGGGTATGGGGGACTGGTGATGTGGTGACACCCACCTTGCGAGCAGCCTGGATCTCCTGGCGTACCAGCTCTTTAATAGGTGGCTGGCCCTCCCCTGGTGGCTGGGTGTAGAGCTGAGCTCGGGTGATGCCCTTCCAGGAAGTGTCCTCAGGCCAGCCCAGCCGCAGCACAGGTGCCGGCTCCTCAGACTGCCCAGGCCAGTAGGTCAGGCTGCCAATATTCCCATCCGTGATAGCAGTCCCTGGGCCTGCGCCACATGGCTCCTGGCTTGGTACTGTCCAGTCTTCAGCAGCTGCAGCCAGGGCCTGAGCCTCATCTGCACTCAGAAAGGGGGGCAGCTTCTCCTGCTGCACGCAGGCCCGGAAGGCCTCTTCCCCACTGCTCAGCAGTTCTTCAAGAGCTAGCCGCTGGCCCTCAGAGTACAAGAAGCCAGGGCTGGCCTTGGTCAGGGCTGGCTCACCAGTCTCCAGCCCCTCTCCTTCCAGTGCAGCCAGCTGGGAGGCCGCCATTGGAGCCACACAGGACCTCAAGATCAAGAGGCCAGTTCTTGAAAGGTCTGGATGGCTTTTGAGGTCTGATCATCTAGGGTCTTGCGATACTATGTAGCCACCCAGGGTAGCCCTGTGAACATCCAAGTTCCGGAAGGTGTTCCTAACTCAATTCCTATCGACTACCTATACTCCTTACACCATCTATCTAAAAACCATGTGCCCAAGGGCCACCTGTCAGTGGGTCATCTCTCCCATTGTGGTACACTGAAGGGATGCCTCTGCCAAACTGCAGGACCACCTCCAATTTGGAGCCACAGTGGTCTAAGGTGACCTTTGGCAGCTTCAGGCCTATCAGGATGATTACCTGCCTGCCCTGGTAATTCTGGCTCCCTGCCCAACCGTTTCCAGGTAAATGGCTGTAGCTGGCGGCTGGCTCCGAGGCCCGTCACTTTGGCTGTCTACGGTGTACACCCACTGTCTTCAGTGCTGCACAGCAAATCATTTTAGCACCTGCTGAGCCTCAGGAAACCTTGCTGCTCACCAGCTCCCACAGGCTAATGAGACACCTCCCAGTCAGGTCCTCCATGGGGACAGAAGTAATCCATGTTCTTCCCCCAGGCACTTGCCAGGCTCCTTCAGGGTACTTCCCAGATTCAGGATAGGGAGGTATGCCCCTGCCATGACCCCAAAAACCAGAGTGCTGTCTGTCTTCTGATCCAAAGCCTAGCCTGGGTATCTACCAGTCTTAAGGTCTCCTGGCTGCACCCTACTTCCTGGACAGGATCCCTCTCCCACCCCATGTACCTTTCAGGCCTGGAGCTGGCATCACACAGCTCAGAGGAACTGGAATAAGGGCAGGTCTCCCCATCTGTGTGCGATAGCCTCGCTGGGCTCCTCGGCCTAAGCCCTCCTTCTCTCGTGTGGCTCTGGCTCTTCCGGGACTCCCCACCTGAGTCCCCGCCCAGCTGGGCGTTGGAGTCAGGACACAGCCCCTTGTGCAAACGCAGGGGAGGGCCTACTGGGCACCTCGTTCAGGGACTGGCCTTTGTCTCACCAGCTTCCCGGAGTGCCTCACCTGTTCCCAGGCCTTCCCCTAGCACAAAGATCTTGGGAAAGACTAATCTTAGGAGGAAGCAGACACCTGATAGGCGGAGCTCTAACCACAGGCAGAGGTTGCACACCACCCCTCCCCAGAGTTGGGCCTGTACTGACTGCCAATAAAATGTTCTGCCACCACTCACTGGTGGCTCTTAATCCATCCGGCCCCATCCCAACTTCATGAACACACAGGACCATCAACATCCAAAGCTTTTTTTTTAATAACAGTAATATCCAGGGTTAGTTTTTGTAGCCGCGGCTGGCCCTTCTGCCTCTGGCACGTTCAAACTTCCGGCCCTTGGAGCGGACATAGGGTCTGTGGGGGAGAAGATGTGGGTGAGAGAAGCCCAGCTCACAGTGGCCAATAGGGCCTGTTCCTGTAATGCTGGGAACCTCTCCTGGACTAGGAGAGCTTCATGGGGACCACATGCCAATCAAGAGTTTGGCACAGGCTCTGGGTAGACCATAGCTGTGACACCCCCTACCAGCCACTGCAGCTAAAAGCTACACAGGGGACAAAGTCTGAGTCCTTAGTCCGATACTCACTTGGTATGGCTGTGTGGGGTTCCTGGGGCCTTGCCAAAATGCCGGTACACTTCTCGGCCCTTCCGAGGTCCTGGACAGGTAAGGAGAGGTTAAGTAGAGACCAAGAACTCCGACCACAGAGAGGGCTCCCCAAACCTTGGCACGTCAAAGCAGCCCTCACTTACCAGACAGGAGCACAGTGCCACGGCCCTTGGGAGACTCCAAGGCCAGCTGGTCAAAGGTGAGGATCTTACCCCCAGCCTTGAGGATGCGACTTCGGGCCCGGCTGCTCACCCGCAGTGCACACACCTGAGGGGGCAGACACCAGGAGCTGTGGAGACCCTGACACCACAACCTCTCTGGTAGATGGCCAACACCCCCCCATGCTTTAGGACTAAAGGTAATCCCAACCACTACACATAATGGTGAGGGAATGGCGTGCTATGAGCTGGTCACACGGACACAGAAAAGGCAGCAAGCAAGGGTGTCAGCACCCCACAGCAAGGCTTGAGTTTGGCTGCAGAGATGTTCCCTGCTGGTCATTTACCTTCAGTTTGGGCACATCGAGAATCCTCACATCATCTGTGACCGTCCCCACAACCACAGCCGTCTTGTTTTCTCGGCCAGGAAGCTTCATCTTTCGGATCTGAGAGGAACAAACAGGTTAAATCACTCTGAATCCACCTATCACCCAGATAGTCAAGGCCATCTCCCCGACAGTGACAAGGCTTTGAAGGCCTCACCAGAGGCTTGTGATCCCATCTTTCTCTCCCTGCAGTTAGCCATGGCAGAAAAGCACAAGTGACTGTCACTTTGGGCGGCAAAGTGGAGTCCAAGCACAGACTTCTACACCCCCCCCCCCCGCTGGCCTCAACCATCCAGAGGTGGAGCACCCACTCCAGATCCAGTTCCCCTGCCCAGGTACTAACCATGCGGGAGAGGGAGAGAGGTGGTCGGTTGGTGCGACTCATAAATAACCTTTTCAGCACAACCTGATTGAAGGTGGAGTTGGTTCGCCTGGCCAGAAACCTGTACAGCTGGGGGGGGGGGTGTGAGGGGGTGGGGAAGAGAAGAGTGATCATGTGGGGGCCACCCTCCAAACCCATCCCTGTCCAACTTCTGGCCCAGCCTCCCCTGATTCAATGCGGCGTCTGGAAGCTTACCTTGACCAGCAGCCGCAGGTATATGTCCTGGCTCTTGGGCTCCTTGCGTCTAACCTTTCGGTCCTTGTTGTGGCGGATGTCAACACCCTGTGGGAGGTCAAAGAATACTACTGAGCCAATGCCTAACTCGGGTAACTGCCCCACATCAAAACTTTTGTTTTCTTCTCCAAGACAGGGCTGTCCTCAAGAGATCTGCCTGCCTCTGCCCCCCAAGTGCTCAGGTTAAAGGCGTGAGCCACCACTGCCTGGCTGCCCTTCATCTTTGATTGACTTACATAATGAAATTGTTACTTACCCTTCAGGCTATTCAGACAACAATTCAAACCCCAGGCCCACCACCAAGCAGTTTATAAAAATTCAAATTTCATCTTAGTGGTCCAGAATAGCGAGAGACAGTAATGGGCCTGGAATTATTGCCAGCAAGTTTCGCAAACAACAAAAAAATCCAAAAGGACTCAGGAGGATTAAAACTGGGGAGGAGGGTGCTCCTACTTGACATTTCCCACCCACGATATGGCATCATTCCTCCCAAACTCTCAAAACTCAGGGAAATCTGTCCTGGAATAAAACCCAAGATGTACAAAACACTCGGCTAGCTCAGTCTGCCTAGAACTTGCTTATCAAGTAAAGATCCTGGGTTCCATGCCCAGTATGGGTGGGGGTTCAGACTCTCGCAAGAGGTCTCTCAAAACCGACCCCAAATCTGGAAAACAGTCAAAAGAAGCTAATAGTCTATTCAAGAAATAGAAATAGAACCAAACAGACCTGGGAAGGCCAAATGCTTATTTTATCCCTCTTGCCCCAAACTAAACAGTAGTTTCTTAAGTGCCAAAAGCACGGTTTAACTAGCTCCTTCATGAACGTCTCCCACACTCACATGGCATGGACGGGATTACTACACCCCCTTCCGCCCAATGAGACAGTGGGTACTGGCACTGTCCCAGTAAGCACAGCCCAAGCCCGGAACACAGAGCTCCACTCTCCGCTGTAAGGAAGCCGGGCCTAGGGGTGCTGCATGCAGCCCGCGCACTCAAAAGGCTGAGGCAACGGGTCTGTCGTGAGTTCGAGGCCGGACTGGCTTCCCTGTGAGCCTGGGCTACAGAGCGAAACTTCGTAAAAAAGACGAGCCTCCGAAGGCGCCCGTGACCGGACGCCGCTACCGGCGGCGCGACGTCCCGGCCGGAGGCCCCCACCAATCCCCCCAGCCTTCCTCGGCATCAGTCGCGGCCACCCGCACCCCTCCGACGCGCTGCGACCCGGCTCCGCTGAGGATGGCAGCGGATGGAACAGCCGAGAGCGCCCTTAGGCAAGCTCACCATGATGGCGCCTCCTGCTCGGCCAGGTCCGGAAAGACAGAACTCCGCCCGAGTGGGCGGGGAAAGGGCTCCCTGCGGGACGCACTCGTGACGCGTGCAGGACGCTCTACCCCGAGTAGCGTATCTCTGTGGTGTATTGGTGACGCCACATAGGCGCGACGCGTCGCTCTACCGCAACCTGGGCTTCTCTATGGTATAGTGGATGACCGATTACAGAGTCCCACAGAATCACCGAAGAGAAAACAATGCGACACCAGAGAAAAAGGCCGGCACGCAGAGAGCCTCTCTAGCCTGTCCCAGTCCCTGTTCTCTGTATTCTTCAGGATAAAGGGACCCGAGAGCGAGAGATATGCTTGGAGTTAGCAGGAGGAAGCTCGCGGTGACGCTCTGCCCGCAGGCCGACCGCTTCTCGGTGGCTCCCGGAGGACCGGGTGGGCTGTGTATGCGAGGTGAGGCTTGTCCCGGCCTGAAGAAAAAGCTAATCTCACATTTCCGGAAAGTTCCTTAAATCCCCAGCTGCCTTTTCCTTATTCTCAGTTTAATGGACCCTACTGAAGTTCAGGAAGCCCTACAAGGTCTCTAACCTGAGACTTTCTTCTGCAATCCAACCTATAGTTACCCCCACACCATACGGGCTCAGCTTTTCCCCTGCCCCTAGATGGGCTCTTCCTCGATCTCTCCTTAGTCTCCTTCCTCAGAGAACGTATTTTTCTTTTCTTTTCTCGACCAGTTGGTTTGAACTGGCGCAACATTTTCGATATACAAAGTATTTATGTTCAGAGATGGCATGCGGAGCCTAGGCCGGGATCGGATCTGGGGTGGAAAGGCTGGATAACAGACTCCGGAGAGAATGAGCTAGAGACTATGGCGGGGGTGGGGAGAAAAGTACAGGGAATTCTCTGCCGGCCGAAGGAGAGATAGAGGAAAATTGGCAACTACTCAGACTAGGCTGCTTTTTTAGTCAGGGTTTCAGGGTTTCACAAAGCCGACCATCCTGACTTGATTCCGTCGTTCTGCCTCAGCCTCCCAAGTAGCTGCTGTTATGCCCAAATCCGCGAAGTCCCCCAAAAGCCAACAGGGAGACCGAGTCCCATGTGTAAAAGCAAAGAGCCTTTACTTTATACAAGTTTGCAAACTCAGTCTCTCGGTATGTCCAATTTATTGGAATAAACGGAGAGCCCCAAGCTCAGTTAGAGTTGGGTTTTTATAGCAGTAAAGGTGGGGGTGAGGGGTTTCTGAGGTTCAGGACCCCTGATTGGCTGACATTTGTCCAGGACGTCCTGGTGAGGGTGCTGGCAGGTGATCCTATCTACAGCAGTTGGAAAGTTAGGCGTTTTCTTTGGATGGTCTGTTTTTGGGTGGTGCTGGGTAATCTCAGTTTATGGTTCTTCCTGCAACCAGGTATTACCTCAGGGTAAACTACTGAGACTCAGGCCTCCATTAAACTCGATAGCCGAGTCCTACACTGGCAGATGATAATAGTTGGAAGTTAAGAACTTCCTTTGGGTGCTCTGTTTCTATTTAGCTTATCATGGCTGGCTCCTTCAGCTGGGATTACAGTTTTGCAGAGCCTGACACCGTTGTTTAAAATTGTGACCTTGGGTAAATCACTTTTCTATGTTTTTTTCCTCGTGATAATAATCCCAACATGGTGTCTTCCCTGGTCGTGTTGGTCTCTAAGCATTCAGTCAACACTTGGTTCGCAGTGCTCGGTAGAATCTGTTGCTGGAACTTGGGAGGACAAGGTGGGCTAGCTGGATGGGAGATGTTGGCTCTGGAACCCTGAGCCTGCAATGTACCCTTGGTCTTCAGAGCCGCAACCTGGGACTGCACAGTGAGAAGGCAGAAGTGTCCACCAGACACTCCTGTGTAACC